CTTAGAAACTGGCTTTTTCAAAAGTTTTTCCCCTACTTCCACAAGATCATCCAAATTCTTCTTTGTTGCTATATCAATTGAACCCAACACCCCACGTAACGTATCATCCTGTAAACACACACTCATACTTGTATTAATTATATGATTGGTTATTGGCATGATGCATGCTATAGAAACAAATTAAATTAATAAATTAAGTCTACTTATATACAGGGTACCTGAATACGAAGGTAATTGTCTTCAGAGTGTAGCATTTTGAGTATGATGGAGATGTTGTAGTCGCCCATGTGAGCACTGGCTTGAGTGAATACTTTAACTATACGACGTAGCCAATCAAACAAATTCCATTTGGCCGCCTCTTTTGCACTGTATTTGTTTTTGGTTGATCTGTTTGAGCCAGTTCCTAAGGATATAACCAAAAATCTGGTCATGTAATCAAACGGCGGGAAGCCTCCTCCGACCTCTGTCATCTCCTTCTCTGCTTCCCCCATAGCCACTAAAGTCTATACGAGCAAATCAAATTAAGTAAAATTAGCTAGCAAGGCGAAATCAATACAAGGCAAAATTAAGTTACATATATTAATTAGGGACAATAATTGCTACATCTTCTTATTTAATATACTTTACAAAACATTCATTAAAAAACCATCACAAAATTTTATACTGCAAATTTTAATAACCGAATCAACAATTGTTAGTAGATGTCTTGAATTGAAGGGTGTATCAATAATTTTTCATCAATTAATCTCTTTAATTAAGTCACATTAATATATAAAATAATAAATATATTCACCGGGTTATTGGCTGCAACACCACCATCTATTAGGTTGAATTCTCCGATGTCTTTTCCACTAGTATTTTTGGTGGTGAAATAATGGGGTGGAAAATAAGTCGGTGCTGCTGAGGTTCCAATACAAACGTCCGACAGTAACGCATCTAAAGATGGATTTCTCTTCGCCTGCTCCACATATATACAATATCCAAAATCATTAATTTCAGGGTTTCAATTTCAATATTTAGCTTGAAATTAATTAAATTAATGCAGCAAGTTTAAAGCTTAAAACTAAAGAGGGGATTATAATATAACCTCATAGGTGGAAAAGAAGACTGGTTGACTTTTTTTTATGTCAAACGCAGGAATAACAACATTAGTTAATGTCTGATGCAGTTTTGTGTTTCCCAATTTTTCCCTAAGAAGCTCATGTAGATATTTTCCATCATATTTGTGTCCAGACAGAAAATTGATGAGGTTTTTTGCTTGACCAAGTAATGGACAACTGCTGTAGTAAAGGGAAAAAAAAAATTGTTAGCTTATATAATTAATTAAAAGCCATGCATAAAAATAAATCAAGTGGTGGTTTGGGGGTTAAGGACTTGAGGAAGTTTAATGTGGCGTTATTAGGAAAATGGTGGGGGAGACTAATGTCGGAAGGAAAAGGATTATGGAAAACTGTTATTTGTGAGAAGTATGGAAGGGCAGGGGAATCGACCTATAACATGCTGAAGGGGGGAATACAATATGGATCAACTTGGTGGAGGGATATTTGTAGAGTGAATCAGATAGATGGTGATAACAGGGGCTGGCTTACTAATGGACTGAAACTAAGTGTAGGGGAAGAGGCAGGAGTAAGTTTTTGATGGGATGAGTGGGGTGATGGAGAGAGTATTGCTAACAAGTTTCCAAGACTTTACACATTGTCTACAGGAAAGAACAACAGCATAAATCAAATGGGAGGGTGGCAAAATGCATCATGGGTATGGAAACTAACGTGGAGGAGAAGCTTGCACAGCTGGGAAATGCAGCAAGAATCGGAACTTCAAAGGCTGATTCAAGAAATCAAACTAGAAAGAGGAAAACCAGATGTATGGAGGTGGATGCATAGCAAGGACGGGAATTATTCAACATGTTCAGCCTACCAAAGACTTATGGGGGAACAAGGGAGCGAGCAACAGAAATAAAAAATGCAGAAAATATGGAATACATCAATCCCCAGCAAAATCTCAGCATTCTCATGGCAAATGCTTTAGGATAAAATTCCAACAAAGGTAAACCTTTTAAAAAGAGGTATTATAAAAGAGATTGAAGAGTGTAAGTGTGACCTTTGTGGGATGACATATGAGGATACCAGCCACATCTTTATTCACTGTGAATTATCTTATAAATTGTGGAATGCCTGTTATAAATGATGGGGTATCAAGACTATATTTGACAATGACTGCTGGAAGGTGTTTAAACAGCATGGCAACATGGTGAAAACAGAGAAGGAAAAGAAAGGATGGGAGTGCATATGGTTTGCCACAATATGGACAATATGGCTAACAAGAAACGGGAGGGTATTCAAAGGAAAGGAAGCAGACAGTAGAAAAATGCTAGAGCTGGTGCAACTTAAGTCCTTCAACTGGTTGAAAGATAAAAGAGGAGGTTGCTTATTCTCATTATTTGATTGGCTACAGGATCCAGCAAGCTGTCTAAAGTTCAACTGTGCAGGCAAAAGGAAAAACAAAGAATGTACAACCATCAGGTAGAAATAGGTGCAGATGGATATTAGCCACCACAGTATCAAGGATGGATGTGAGGAGGCTGAAGAATACCAGCATGCTGCAAATAGTTGAGAGGTACCAGAAATGCAACTAAGGAAATCTAGAGCCAAAAATATCAATAAGGGAGGTTATGGTATTCTGGAAGGGCTGAGCATTCTGAATCCCGACACGGTGGTGGTGTCGACACCAAACGGAAGACCTGAGCTCCCAAATCTCCGATAGGGACATGGTATCGACACTTTATTAGGGTGTCGACACCCAACGGACGACCTGAGCTCTCAAATCTCCGACGCGGACATGGTGTCGACACATAATACAGATGTCGACACCGAAAGGAAGGGTTATTTGACTATGTAACTCTTTGCCTTTCAAACTGAGATGTTTACAGGTTTGGGGTACCCTTGTACTCCGTTTCAATAAATATTACTTTTGCTTTTCAAAAAAATATATATATATATAAATCAAGTAAATGAAATTTAGAATATTGTTACCTTGATTGGGGGAAGATGTCAGGGCAGTGGGTGAGGTAAAAGTCTTTTATGTCTTTGGCAGCAAACAGGGGTCGACGGGTATTTTCATTAGGAGCAGTTAGCATGGCTGTTATCAGGCCGCCAGTGCTAGTTCCGGCAATCACATGAAAATAATCTGCTATTCTTGATCCTTTGCCATCCAGTTTCTGAACTCAAGATTAGAAAAACCAGTTTGAATTGTTCATTCTTGTTGCAATAATATGAGCAAAAAAAGCAATTGTACCTGAAGAGTTAACAATTGTTCAGTCTTAGTAATTACCTGAAGTTCAGACTCTAGATAAGCAAGGATGACTCCGGCGATTATCCCTCGAATTCCACCACCATCAATACTGAGAATTGTGATTACATTTCTGCATGAAGGTGAATTATTTAGCCCTTCCATGAGTTAATCAAAGTGCTTTAATGAGGGATTTGGAGTTTTGAGAGCGACTTTGAGAGAAGTAAAGCTAGAGGGCTCGGGGGCTGGGGTGGAGAAAAAGACCGTTTGTTGTTGGCGATGCAAAATGGATTGGGGGCGGACCGGCCAGTTTTATATTAAAAAATACAAAAATATTGTTCATTAATCACTTTTCTATTCCAATTCTTATGTAGGTAGTTACTAGTTAGTGCTTTCAATTTACATCCAGTGTTATCTGGACCCACCCGTTGCTTGATGTACAATTGGACGGTGTAGATTAAGTAGTCTTCCACAATTGGACGGTGTAGATTAAGTA